TTTCCCTAGTGCACAGTCACCCTCGTAGATAGTCACATGAGCCTTTGAGGAAGGCTAGGAGGAAGATTTGCCATATAATTTTTTGGCAGTAGGTTGGGGCTTTTAAAGAAGATCTATCTTTATTTCATTTTATTTTAACTTTTAATTTTTTTATTTTAAAGCTGTGGGGTACAATTCAGGATTAGGTATACAAATGTTCATTCTGCAGGTACCCTTGTTGATGAGGTGTGCCCTCTTTCTCCAGGCAGATTCTCACTACTGCCAATCCTGTTTCCCTGACCCACTCCCAGCAGTTTCCCATTACTGTCAATCCTTTTCTTATAGTATTATAATAATTGCTCAAGGTCTGCTAATGAGTGAGAACATGTGATACTCAGTTCTTTGTTTCTGTGAAGGATCACTCAGTGATATAGACTCTAAGTCCATCCAGGTTGCTGTGAAGTTCATGATTTTGTTCTTCTCTATGGCTGTGTAATATTCCATCATGGCTGTGTACCACATTTTAAAAATCCAGTCCTCTTTTGATGGGCAGCATGGTTGGTTCCATGTTCTTGCTACTGTGAACAATGCTGTGATAAACATATGTGTGCAGGCATCTTTTTTATAGAGTGATTTGAGTTCTTCCAGGCATATTCCCAGTAGGGGGATTGTGGAGTCGTGTGGAAGGTTGATTTTTAGATATTTTAGGAGAGACCTATCTTTATTCAATGAGCCTTGAGTCTGTGAATTAGCTCAAATCTGAGAAGTAGTTGAGGGCCAATACTCTCTTTTTTATTGATTTAAGTCCTATTTCTGGTAATCAGACTTAGAGCTTTTAAAAAAAACTTATATAAACCAGAAAAGACTTAAGTATACTACCCATCTATTTTAATTCTAGGCACACCATGACCAAGTTAGCTGATGCCAGCGATCTTTGTGGGTCAAACCACTTTGTTTATTGCTTTTGACTCTCCTGCCGATTATAGTAACCATGTCAACTTTGTCTCTGAAAGTTAATTGCTACCACTTGGTTTATGTCACCTGAGATTCCCATCACTCTCACTGAATTTAGAGACTGCAATTTGATGACACCATTTCTTACTATTGTTCTTGGCCTTCCAGCCACACAGAGCTTATCAAGCTATACAGAGTTCACCAAGCTGGCTGGGGCTTCTCTTATCAATACATTTCTCAAGACTTGGTAAAGAAAGCATTTTCTGTAGTCTCCCAAGGGACACAGTCAGGGAGTGAGCAGGACATACGTAATAAATATTTTCCATATGTTAGAGACTTAGGAGCCATTTTCCTTAAACACTCCAGAATGTGCACTAATGCTTGCAAGACAGTGCAGATATTTGTTTAGGAGCTCAGTGATTAAGACAAAATATACAGAGTGTAGTCTGAGTTTAAAAAGTATAACTGCCAACAAAATATGTTTGTATTTAGTGCTTTTAAAATGAAAAATGGATTGTCTTAGTTATGAATACATTATATATTAAATGTTTGGATTTTGTCAGGTGAAAATAAGGCCCATTTGCATGTTGTTTTCTGTTTTCTCCTACATGACCAAAAATCAACATTAAACAACAAGGTTCTGTTCTGAGGATGAACTTGACTACTCATATCTATATAGATAGCTTTGAAAAAAAAAAAAGAAAAGATCTGTCTTTTGACCTATATTCTTTCTCTATTATTTCTTACTAATTCTTCCCTTTTGGGGTTTTGTAGGAAATTGTAGTAGATAAGAGGATGATTGAGAAGGTGGAGGAGATACACTCACCTCATTCATTACAACTTATTGTTATTACTTTGGAGCTATAGGTTACTGAGGTAATAATCCCAACTTGAAAAACAATTGTTTAGATGAGTCACAAAAAAATATTTAGTTTTTGAGATTGTCTAAGAGGAAACATTTCCATAGAGGACTTGGAGACTTTTTCTTCTCCTCCTTCTATGGGCTATTCTTTCAAGAAGAAATTTGCCTAAGTACAGCCAGAGTTGAAACCTTCCTAAAGGTTAGAGGAGAGATTGAAACAGGGAGTGGTGATATGAAAGTATAGGCTGGCACCAATGTATGGCGACACACATGTGTAGACAGAGGGAATGAGAACCTCAGAAGATTCTGAGTTGCTGTTATTGAAGTATGAAGTCTTCTGGACATATTCTTTTCTTTATTTGGAATTTGACCTTTGAAAAGCTAATTATGATCACTGTTCAGATCTTTTTTACAGCTTTTTAGCTGTGAGTTCTAGAATCTTCCTCTGAGGAGATAGCTTTCCTAGTCATAGTCATTGTTTTTTGGGGCCATATGGCAATGATTAGAATATTATTAGGTTAAATCAAATTGGTCAATAACATCTTTGGTCCAGAGCGACCCTTTTAAAGAAATTTGCAAGTATTTTCTCATGTTAGGGGATTGGTAAGCATTTCTTTTTATAATGAATGTGGGTGGAACATTATCTTAGTTCATTTTGTGCTGCTTTAACAGAATACCTGAGAATGGGTAATTAATAAAGAAAATAAGTTTCTTTCTTTCTTTTTCGAATTGGAGTCTCACTCTGTTACCCAGGCTAGAGTGCAGAGTGGCAAAATCCTGGCTCACCACAGCCTTGACCTCTTGGGCTCAGGTGATCCTTCTGCCTCAGCCTCTTGAGTAGCTGGGACCATAGGCATATGCCACTAGGTCCAGTTGATTTTTTTAATTTTTACCATTTTTTTTTTTAAGAGATGAGGTCCTGCTACATTGCCCAAGTTGGACTCAAAATCCTGGGCTCAAGCAATACTCCCCCCTTAGCCTCCCAAAATGCTGGGAGTACAAGCATGAGCCACCACACCTGGACATTTATTTCTTACAATTCTGGAGACTGGGAAGTCCAAGATCAGGAGGCTCACATCTAGTGAGGGCCCTCATGCTGTGTCAACCGATGGTGGAAGTTGGAAGGGTAGGGGAGCGAAAGAGAGCAAGAGAGGGCCAAGCTCTTTTTTTTTTTTTTTTTTGATAAACCCACTACCATGATAATGAACACACTCCTGATGATATTACTCCCATGATCTAATCCCTTCTCAAAGATTCCACTTCTCAACACTGCATTGGGGAATTAAGTTTCTAACACGTGAACTTTGGGGGACACATTCAAACTGGAGCAGGCATAAAGCATACTTTGTATTTCAAGTGAACTTGAAATTATAAACATTTCAGACAGGATAACTTTATTTTAGGTAGAGTATAAGAATGTGCATGGGTCAGTAAGAAGAGGGCATCTTGTCCCCTTTACTCCTCAGTGCTCATATTAAGATGATTTTATTCTTCTGAATTTCTAAGAGGACGTTTTCTTCCTCATTGTAAAAAACGGAGATTTCCCGAGTGTCCTTGAATGATTTATTCATGGCCTGCTTGTGTAGTAGCAAAAGAAAAGAATTATACATTACATTTTTTATCTTGTGCAAGAGAGCAATTTTTAAAAAATATATTTGGTAAGACCTTTAATAAAATTTTTAATGAGTTGTCTTCTCAACTCACAGTCTTTACAAAGAGTACTGTCTCCTCTATTATCATGGCTCAGAGCAGGGCATGTTTTTTTTCCTAGCTGGGATATGTGTTGTTTCCATATTACTTTTGGTTTTTAAGTTAAATATGCTTCTGTTGAAGAAAATCTAAGTTGTACCCATACTTAAGTTTGTGTTTAAATTATACCTTGATAAATGTCATAAATTTATTACATTTCCCCTAAGATTAACACACTAGCTATCACCAGTATTCTAAGATGAATAAGGTTGCTCTATCATTAACCAGTATTTTTTCCCCCTTTCCTTCTTTCTTTTTCCTTTATTACTATCTTCCTCTCCCATCCTTCACAAGTTCCAGTAATTAAATTCTTGAAGAATGGATGAGGGATCTCATATAATTATTTATTTACTATCTCTCTCCCTCATATTAGACTGTAAATTCTGTAAGGACAGAGACTATACCAGTCTTGTTTACCTCTGTATGCCTAATGCCTAAGATTAGTACATAGTTGAATTAGTTGAATAAGTGAATGAATGAATGAATAATAGGACATATAACATGAATGCTTCTTTTAAAAATAATTTTGTTGAAATATGTTTCTTATATCCTGAAATATTTAGATTATAAAATATGGGGAGAAATTATATCAAGACGAAAACATTATAAAATATGGGGAGAAATTATATCAAGACAAAAACATTAATTTGAATGTTTACAAATTAATTTGTTATTTTCTTATCACTTAAAGAATTCTGCAATAAGCAATCAATTTAAAGTGATTTCTGAAACTCAACTTTTTGGATTAATATTTGGAACTTCATTTGACTATGTGACCTTGATGAGATCAACTAACTTAATTTATGGCCCAACTAAATTAAAGTAGTTTGAGAGCTTAATATGGGAATACTCATATTTTTGCAATGAGAATCAGTTTTATGGATTTTAATTGAAACATGATGTAGGCTGTGTAGATAATAGCATTTTTATTGTTTATTTCAAATTGTAACTTGAGAGTTTTAAGAATTGAAGGATGTTTCCAAGTATAACAGAAAATTATATACTCTTGGGTTCAGAAATTATTATTTAAGCAAAATAGTACATTATAAAAAGCCTGACTGTTCAGAAACTCAAGGATCAAAGTAAGTGTACATACTTCCCCAAACAATGTTAGTGTAGACTGTTCATTTAATTGTTGGATTAAACGTATGTACAAAAACTGCAGTTACTTAGGAGACATGAAAACAACAACAACTAACTACTAACTACCATGTAGGTCTTGATAAAGTAGAAAGTAGCCATAAATGTAAACTTGGCGTATTATGAACTTTAATTTGGCCACTTGTTTAGAAAGTCTATTAATACTTGGCTACACAGCAGTATACTTGGAGAAAAAGATTCTACTCAATGTTTCATAAGGTCTTTTCAGCTCTACCTAATTGTAATATCTCTGCTTGCTTAGCTTTTGTTCCTTTGTTCCTTGAAGGGTATATTTTCATCCTATATTTTTCTCTAGGCATCCACAAGGACAAAAATAAACCTCCCAGCTTCTCTGTTGTCCTTGAGACTTTGCGGCGTACCTTGACAGATTACCAGAACAAGCTGGAAGAAGCATCTAATGAGGTAACACTTGCACTGTTTGGTTCCACACGTATAGCCTTCGGCCTGTACCAGGACGCATCCCTTGCTTGTTACAAAGGTCAAAGAGATTGGGAGTGTTGAACTGACAGCTTCACAGAGACAAAAAAAAAAAAAAAAAAAAAAAATACATTGTCACTGTTCTTTCTTTAAGTGTGGCCCGAAGTTATGTCTCAGTTATATTCTTGTAACTCTTCAGTCATACTGTTATTTTTAGAGTTATAAAGACTCTTTTACTTCTTGGTCTTTGCAATTTGTTTAAATTTAATGAAAATGCCAGGCAAGTCATTTAAGTTAATATGTGTTGCATTTAATTGTTAACCTGTTCTTATGCCACTTAGAAGCTGGTGGAATTTAGTTTTTTTTCAGTGTTGTAGGCTAAGATTGCTACAAAATGTGGGAAGTCTTGACAAAAAAGAGAGAAATTAGTTTTCATTCTCTAAAGGGAGCTAAATGTGTTAGACGTTTTTAAAAACAAATATCTGTTTGATGTAGCCTGGAAGCTTTTAGTTTACTGATTGAAAAAGCTCATTCTTCTATTTATCACCTCATTTGTATTGTTTAATGTGTGGGCTGATAATTTTCTTGAGTATGTTTTATGAATCCATGCTTTAAAAATTGAAGAGTTTGTCTAGTTACATCTTGTCAAATTAGCGTTTGAAGTAATTACATTAAATACAATTAGTTAGCAAAACAACAAACATTGTTCGAGCCCAAGACATGTCACATAACATGGAATTTAGTGTTTATCCTTCTGCTGAACTCTTTCTTTCATGGAATGCAAAGGCCACAAAATCATTACATGTCACATTTCAGGTGAGGCTTATTTTATCTCGCAAAGGTGAACAAAGAAGGAAAAGTGAGTCTTCTTAATACCCTCTATAATTGTTCAGAAGGCATAAAAGAAAGTGACTGTTGAAATAATTAAATTTCTATGAAGAGCAAATATTGCTAAGTCTTTCCCAGTGAGACAAGGCAACCTGTATTGCTCGTGGTTTATGAAACTCTTCAGAGGCCTAGGTCTGGAAGCTGCAGGGTAACTAGGAACATATTACCCACAGCGAATTGTTATTTGGGAGGATGAATGTCACGTGATCCTCAGCACAGTTGAAAAGTCGACTCAGCAGGCTTTGGCTTAGCAATGCGCTTTGTTGTGAACCAGTGCCAGAGACAGCAGTGGGGAGACCAAGGGGGTGGCTGCAAAGAAAGCAAGAAGGGCAGTCTGACAGAAAGAAGAATGAACTGTCAAAGAAAATAAATCACAAGCGGTGCAGGACCAACTGATGACCTGCCACAAGCCTTCCCAGTAGGACTGCATGTGACCGACCCTGAAGTTGTCATATGGAGTGAGAGACCAGTGAATACCCTCATGATGTATAGAATAGAGAGAACAGTCTTCTGCTCTGTTCTTTTTTCAAACCTTGTAGATGCCGCTGCTTCTGGCATTTTGGTCCAGTAGGATTTTAAGAATAAAGTTATATTTGTTTACAGTAAGAATGAAATCCTTTATCCAGACGTGTAGTAAAAATACAGTAACATCACTGATACTGTAAGCTTGAATGCTTTCTTTTCTTTTTAGCCATGTGAGCTTGTGACAGAAACTATGTTGCATTTAACCAAAAGACATAATGTTTTTAAGACTCTTAGTTACTATTGAAAAAATTGTATCTAGATAACTGCATAAAAAGCACCTAAAGATTAGCTTCTGAGTTACCCTCTCCTGCAAAGCTTGTAAAAGTTACTTACATTTTATTTCATCAGCTAAACAGCATGAACGATGCTAAGGAAAAGGCATCGAATGAACTTGATTCTACCAAACAGAAGATAGACTCACACACTAAAAATATAAAGGTATTATTTAGAATAACTTTTTCCTTTTGTACTGAGAAACAAATACAATTACTTAGGGGATATTTTAAGTAAAGATTTCTGAAGGTCTATTCTCTTATTTTTTAAGTATGTTTGGATACAGTTTTAATTTTTCTTGCTGACCAAAGTAACAAGAATGTTTTTCCATTAAAAAAAATTAAAACTTGATTGGAAATTGTTTTGGTTAAAGGAAAATTTATTTTCCAGATTTAATTATAATGCAATAGATTTAAAAATTGATTTAAGAGTTGATGTCTAGGCTCAGAAACATTTTTTATTTTTTTGAGTCAGGGTCTCACTCTGTCTCCCAGGCTGGAGTGCAGTGGCATGATTACTGCTCACTGCAGCCTCAAACTCCTGGGCTCAAATGATCCTCAAGCCTTGACCTCCCAAAGTACTGGGATTACAGGCGTGAGCCACTGTGCCTGGCCTCAGATACATAGTATAAATATATTTTACCCGGGCCCATCTGTATTTGGGGTCAGTTTTCATCAAGTTAAGGGTGGAGCCATTGTTTTTAGTATGTCATGTCTGCTAATGGACTGAGACCACACCTGGCTAAGGTCCAGGACAACAGCTTATTTTATTTTCTGGGCTGGTATTATGTACTGTATCTTTGCAAAAATTATACTCAGTCAATGCTCAGAAGTTTCGCAGTATTGTTGGAATTTTATTGTGTTGGTTCATGTTGAGTTTGTAATGGATATACTTCAATAGAATTTGTTAAGGTTAAGGAATAAATTGCTCAGCAGAATTTTTTGCCACATATTTGAGATTTATATAAGTATTTGAAATGTCATTGGAAAAGTAAATGCTCTTACATGTAAGAGATTTATTTTTAAAATACTAAACACATCTTTGAACTACCAAGCTATTTTTTTATGAGTTGAAAAGAAACTCCCTTCAAAGAGCTTTTTGAATAAGTCATCACCTTAACATTTTGTGCGAATGTTCAAACTGAACACATTTTCTAACTTTTGAGCAAAGAAAGGTATTATACTTAGAAATGTATTTAGTAAAACACCTTGATGTTTACCATTATAATCTGATGTTTGCCTTTGTGATTCTTTTATCTTAAAGCTTTGAAAGTTTTCATTATGTATTTTATATTTGTGTCCCCTCGCCCTTATTGGCTGACCTTCTTATAGTCTCTCTATTTGGTGTCTACGACAGGAACTTCAGGATAAACTGGCCGATGTCAATAAAGAGTTAAGTCATTTACGCACTAAATGTGCAGACCGAGAGGCTTTAATAAGCACTTTAAAAGTAGAGCTACAAAATGTGCTGCACTGTTGGGAGAAAGAAAAGACTCGGGCGGCCCAATCTGAAAATGAACTGCAGAAGCTCTCCCAGGCTGTCCACAAGGATGCTGAGGTATTACCTGAGACTAGATGACTGTCGGGAAAAACCTTTCACTAATCTCGGTTTTGTCCATTTACCTACATCCCGTGGCGATTTTTACTCGTATTTGATTTAATTAAAAAATTGTTCTGAGCAGAGAATTTTGCAATGGTGTGACAGATGCAAAACCAGTCGCTCCATTACTCTTACGCATCTCATTTTGTGAGAGAAGCAGTGGAGTTGAACCCTTCTGCCCTTTGTACAACCAATCTTTCAAAACTGTTCAGACCATCATATTTAAGCAGCCATGATCCTAACAGTCTTTTCAAGGTTTGCCTGTTGGCCAATAGCAAAATTATTTTTTATTTCAGTCATTCAGTAGCTTGGTGTTGTGGAGAAAATAAGTTTTTTGTAATCAGATAGACCTGACCCTTATACTTCTGTTTACAAATGGCAGGGTTGTGGGTAAGCTTTATGGCTTCGTCTCTCCACATCTTCATTTTCTTATTTGTAAAACAGAAATGGCAGCTACTTTAGCAGTCTTCTTACTCTGTGTAATTGTAGGATATTAATACAACTGGAGAAGAATAAAAGTCCCCCCAAATTAAAACTTTTCATTTGAATATTCTGGAGAGTTGCCTATCCATTTTTTATTTATTAATGACTTATTAAAATACTCTGACAAAATCTCATGTTTTTTATGAGCCTGTGTGAATGGAATCATATATATTTTTACCCATGGGGCATAGAGCTAGTCTAGCTAGTGGAATTGGTTTATTTAAGTCATCCTGCATATTGAGTTCATTACTCCAACAAATATGAACACGAATGCCAAGAGAGTAAAAAGGAAACATTCTTTCCACTCTTTTTACAGTCTGGGATTTAAATTGTGTCCACATGAAGGGCTTGGAATTGTTCTACACATCAGATAGTGATTAAAGTCAAGGAAACTAGAAGCCTGACCGTATTGTAAAGTCAGCATGTCTACAGCGTTGTGGTTGGGTTCAACACGTGTGAATTGATTTTGGATCTTAGGATTGTCTTTTCACGCCAAATGGATGATCATCATGCTTGGTTTATCACAGCCCAAGCAAAAAGAACATAATGGCGACACCATGAATTATCCTTGAGGATGAACTTCCTTGAGGACGAACGTGATCACTTGGCAAGATATGGAGGAAGCCTTTTACGTTTGTTTAGTTATATTTAATGAGGTTTTTAAACATTTCGACCCAGTCAAACAATGAAAAAGTCATTTTAACTGCTTATGAAAGGAAAAGACGTAGCATCTTTATGAAAAAGTCTTCTGATTTCTTAACTCAAGTTTGTGGTTGTAACTACGTTTTCAATCTTTAAACAGTTTTTAAATGATCGTATTTGGAAAATAAAATAAGGTGGCCTATAGGGTGAATTAAAGATATATATTTTGATATATATAGTTAAACTTTCCATACAGTTTCTAATGACAAACCTTTTCATATGCTTTACTCAATAGTTTTTAAAAAAAGTATTGTCGAATTTTTGTTTTTTTTCCTAAGTGTCCTCCTTAAAAATTTTTTTTTTCCTGCTGACCTATAAAAAATCTTGAGGGAACTTATTTTATCTACATAAAATATTCATTTTATAGCTTCACAATTACCTTGTCTTTGAGTTGTATGCTTTGGTACTTTATAGATGAAACACGTTATAAAGAGAGCGATTTGGCATTAGAGTAAGTAAACCCTTCTTGTATGTTCAAATTGGGATCTACTTTATACTGAATTTTGCAGCATAATAAGTGTTTTTAGGTCATCTTTCATATCTTTCACATACATTCTCTTGGTCTGAGCTTTGTGCACTCTTGCAAGAGAATGCTGATGCCCTGATCACAGACCTCAACAGGGTTAATGAGAAGTTAACTATTCTCAGCAGTGGATCATTTAATTACTGTAATGGTAACATAATTTTAAAGGACTTTTAAAAAACATGTTTGCGATTGAACGTTTTTGAAAGTATGCCTTGAACAACTGGATCCATTCTTTTTCTGTTATTTTGTAATATTTAAACACCTACAAATGCCCAGAGTGCCAAATACTATATGAACTTATATAAAAGCGGGGAAACAAATGAGCCCTTCTTCTGTAGCTTTCATATCACTGTCTGCTTTGCCTAAGGGGCTTGGGATAGATTTCTTATAAGTGGTAAGTAGACTGGGATCTCTGGAGGAGGAAGCAAGCTAAGTTATTGTGTACATGTAAAGCACAGATATAGGTAACACTTTTAAAAAATCGGCATTGAAGAAGACTCTTCATCCTGTATTGATTTTGACCTAAACAATATGCATTTTGGCAAATGTAAATATGAAGCTATAGAATTATCATACTAACTTCCAGTTAGATGGATTTATAAACAACCAGTCCGGTCCAGATTCCTGTGTTATTCTGAGGAAACTTAGTCCTGAACAAGCGCTTTCTCAGATCACAGCTGCATTAGCAGCAGAGCTAGGCAGAATCTTGGTTTTATATCTTTTAGAGTTCGGATTTTGGTTTTGAATACCAAATATAAGCAATTCCAAGTGTTCTATCTGATGCTTAGTTTTGAATGTGAAAAAAAGTCATTAAAATGTCCTGAGACTTGAGTGTTGTGATTCCTTTTCAGGTTTTTGAAATGAATTCTTCACCATTTGTATTATGTATTTTTCTTCTTACAATGTTTATATACAGGAATTAATTTTTTTTTTTCCTGCAGGAGAAGCTAACCTTCCTTCACACCTTGTATCAGCACTTGGTAGCAGGCTATGTGCTCATAAAACAACCAGAAGGCATGCTGGATAAATTCTCTTGGTCTGAGCTTTGTGCAGTCTTGCAGGAGAATGTTGATGCCCTGATCGCAGACCTCAACAGGGCTAATGAGAAGGTAACTGTCCTCAGGCACCAGATACTGCTATTAAATTCAGTGACATTTGTCCACATCACAGTATCATTAAGAGGGGCTGACATTCATCTTATTTCAAAAAGAATTTGGATGTTAATAATTCAATACCATTAATTATGGCTTGTCTACAACTCAGTTTGATGCCATTGCTGTGGGCATGTAAATGTGACTGAAGTCTGTATGAAGTCTCTAAGCTCTACTTTCTGTGCAGGACATGCTAATACTACTAGCCAGTATTAGCCACAGGGACCTAATTAAAAGAAAATAAATTAATCTTACTGATGAAGCAATTCAAAGAACTTAGTCATTTACATTAATAAACCAACTCTTTATGTTAGCATAAAATAGAAACAGGATACAGTTATTCAAAAACATGATCTTACAATTCTTTGCTTAGGAAATATAAGGTGTTATTTTAAAAGCACTTAAGACATTTTAAATTATATACTTATGGCTTGTTTCTTGAAGTACAACGAAGTGTAGAAATTCCATTCTGTGCTTTAAAATGTAAGAAGTATATTTTGTAGGAGAAAACAATGAACTTTTATGGTCACTTTTACCATCTCACAAGCCTAGGCATTTAGTCTTCAAAAAATTTTTTAAAAACCTGTTTATGGTTATAGAAAATTAAAATGGCTTAGCAGATCCACATATACCACCATTAAAAATATAGATTATTTTTCTGGGTCTGTTGAATTGGTCAGAACTCTGTTATGTGGTCTAGTTTCCAGGTCTTAGTTGCAATAACCTTTGCCCTTCAGGGACAAGAAGAGAAAAACTGTTCCCTAAGTTTAAAAAGAAAAATCTATTGAAGTCATAAAACAGTGTATTAGCCCAGTTTGAGTGTGTTTCTTATTGTTGGGCATTTTGCCTTGGTCCTGTCGGCAAACACAACCATAGTCACTGAGATGTAGGACTGAGAACTGAGAGAATAAATTGTGAGAAGTACAGATGCTGTTCTTGATTGTGAATGTGTGTATAATGGGTTTGAAAATTACAGATAATTAAAATGAGTGTATTTTAACCCTCCGAGATGGTAGTATGTTTTTAATATTTTTTCATTGTTTCAAAACATCATTAATTGTCACACATTTTAGAAGACAGGTATTTTCTTTCCAGTGTTTGAATGTGAAATAAAAAGTGGTTGGAACATTCTGCTTTATTTCATGTAAAATGTCTGCAAATCTGTAAATCTTATTTAAATACTTCCTTTCTTATTGAGATATCTGAATAGCTTGAGCTTTGATTCCAGATGTAAGAATATCTTTCTTAATCTTCTCAATAAAATTAATTATAAAATGAGTAACTTCACTAGAAAGAGAAGAATAAGAAATTTGTCATCTAAGTGTACAAATGACATCATTTCCTGCTAAAATTTGGCAATTTACCCTGCTAATCCCTCTTTCTTACTTTCTTTATTTATATTTTAATTTAAAATTGTCCTGTGATCTTAAGGAATAAAATACAGTAGAACATTTTGAGTGCTTTTTGGGGGAGATGATACAAAGAAGTAGTTTGTGGCATATCTCATTTTCTGTTGTTTTCTTCTCTAGATAAGCCATCTGGAGTATATCTGCAGAAACAAGTCTGACACAATGAGAGAGCTCCAACAGACCCAGGAAGATACCTTTCACAAAGTGGCAGAGCAGATCAAAGCCCAGGAGAGCTGCTGGCACAAACAGAAGAAGGAACTGGAGCTGCAGTATTCTGAACTCCTTCTAGAGGTGCAGAAGAGGGCACAGGTATGATAGGATGCCTCTGCGGAAGGGCCTTGAGACATGAGTTACTCCGTGTAGCCCTTTCGTATGCTGTTTTCGTTTAGCGGCAATGTCAGATCAGTTTCAAACATCTTGAGAGTCTCACTGAACTGGTTTAGACCACACACATGTGATCATGCAAGTACACACATAAGCACACAGGTGGGATGTGTGTGCATTAAGGATTGTCTTTCACTTTAGTTTGGAAGTAGATGGGTTTCTGATTCAAGCGTCTCAAAATGCATTGAACAATTAAATGTTGAAATTGTATTTTCTTTATTTATTTTTGAAATGAAAGGTTAAAAGCTTGGTAAAATTGGTCACCTTTAGTGTAGGTATTCTTTTATCTAACTTACTCCAATTGTGGAGGTTCCTATGTGAACTTTGAAAAAATTCATTTGGGGTTAAAATTTGTTATATGTACTAAATTACATAAGAACTAAAGTTATAGTTGTAGGCCCTGTAGAAAGAGCAATTGTGAGATATATTATGCTTTCTGTGTTGAATTTGATTGAGAGAGAGGTTGTGGATAGTTAATGCCACCATATTTCTATACAAATTGCTGTCAATATTTTTTATATTATAAACTGTAATCCCTGCCTGATCAGGAATAATATAATGAGAGTGTATTCTTTTTTGGTACTGAATTTATTAATAGGTCACTTTTGTTCTCAAGATAGAGTACTTAGGAACTACAAGGTTGTATATCCTTCCCATGGTTGATTCAGTATTTAACCTCTTTATTTGGTCCATTCATGCTTATATTGACAAGTCTAATTAAAAGAAAAATCCAAACTATCTATCTTTCTTTCTTTGCCAACAACTGGTTTCAGAGTACATAAAATCAGACCATTCTCTATTCCCAAACTTAAGGGTCTATATGAAATTATACCTTTCTATATGAATTTGAGTAAGTCAATAAATGAACCCTTTAAAAGTCATTTGGGCTAGATTCAGTGGCTCAGCCTGTAATCCCAGCATTTTGGGAGGCCGAGGCAGTGGGTTGCCTGAGATTGTGGGTTCGAGACCAGCCTGGGCAACTTGGCGAGACTTCATCTTTACAATGAATCTAAAATTAGCCGGGCGTGGTAGCACACTCCTGTAGTTCCAGCTACTTGGAAGGCTGAGACAGAAGGATCGCTGAAGCCCAGCAGGTCGACGCTGGGGTGGCTGTGTACGTGCCACTGACCTCCAGCTTGGGTGACAGAGTGAGATTCCGACTCACAAAACAAACAAAAAAGTCATCATTTGTTCATTTAAGCAGGCTACTATATGAAATGCTCTGCATTTTCTACTACTGAAGTCAAAGACACAAACAACTTATTTCAATTTTTTTATAGGTAACACTGACACAAGGTGAAGTGCACAGATCTTAATTGTATACTTTGATATTTTTAAAAGATGTATTTATTTTATTGATACATATTGTACACATTAATAGTGTACATATGATATTTTGATACATGCATAGACTGTGTAATGATCAAGTCCGTGTATTTAGGGTATCTGTCACCTTGAACACTGATCACTTCTTTGTGTTGGGAACATGCCAGATCTTCTCTTCTAGCTATTTTAAAATATATAATATAAAGTTATTAACTATAGTCACCAGACTGTGCTATCGAAAACTAGGACGCATTCCTTCTAACTATAAGTCTGTACCTACATCTCTCCTCCCTCTTCCCCCACATATCCTTCCCAGACTCTGGTAACTACAATTTGATGTTTTGGTCAATGCAAACACCCATGGATCATTACTCCACTTAAGCCTTAAAACCTTTTCATTACCCTGGGAAGATATCTTGTGCACTCTGCTCGTCAGTTTTACTCCGTATAGGCAACCGTGTTCTGATATCTGTCATCACATATGAGTTTTCATCTATTCTTGAATTTCATATGAGTGGAATCATTCAGTATTTAATCTTTGGTGGTTGAATAATTTCACTCAACATTAATGTTTTGAACATGATGTCGTTCATGTTGTGTGTCTCAGTGCTTCATTCTTCTTTGTGGTTGAGCAGTATTTCATTTTATAACTTCACCACACTTGGACGGATTGTGAGTAGATGAATATTTGGGTTGTTTCTAGTTTTTGACTTTATAAATCGGATTGCTGTAAACATGATTGTACAAGTCTTTTGTCAGCATATGTTTTCATTTCTCTTGGTTAACTACAAAGAGTGCAATTGCCAGGTCACGGGATAGGTGTATATTTATAAGAAACTGTCAAAAGTTTTGTTTTTTTAAAAAAGTGGTTGTATCATATTGTGTTTCCAATATATGAGAGTTTTCATTGTTCTACATTCTCTGCAGCCTTTGGTATTGTTAAATTTCAGCCGTTGTAGTGGTTTTATGATGGCATTTCATTGTGGTTTTTAATTTACATTTTTTTGGTGATTAGTGATGTGGAATACTTTTCATGTATTATTTATATATCACTGTTTGTAATGTATCTTTTCAAGTGTTTACCAATTTATAAAAATTAGGATGTATGTGTTTTTATTGTTGAGTTTTAACATATCCTTTGTTATATATATCATAGATATTTTCTGATAATCGTTCACTTGCCTTTTCAGTGCTGCTTTTGATGATCACAAATTTAAAAATTTTGATAAAGTCCAGCTTCTAAATCTTTTTCTCTTCTGGCTATTTATTTGTATACGCTAAGTAATTTTTCTATTCAAGGTTGTAAAGATAATTTCCTATTATTTCTTCTAGAAGTTTCATAGATTTAGATTTTATGATCCATCTCAAATTAATTTTTATATGTGATGTTGGGTAAAGGCTGAGATTCCTTTCTCCCTGCTTCATCTATTGTTCATACATTATTTGTTCCACACTTTTCTTTCTCAGTTGAATACCCTTGGTACCTTTGTGAAAAACAATTGACCATACATAGGAACCACAGACTTGTTGTCTATTGCTTTGCCCTTTCCAAAATGTCATGAAAATGGACTCTGGCTTCATTTACTTGGCAATAATATATTTGGAATTCATTCACATTGTTGTGTATATCATGGTTCATTTGCAAAATTTGCTGAGTGATTTTCTATGGCATGGCTGTACAACTGTTTGTTTATTCAGATACTTGCTGATCAACCTTTGGGCTGTTTGTATTTTTTGATAATTATGAGTAAATGCTTTAAGCATTTGTGGAAAGATTTTTGTGTGATTATAAATTTTTATTTCTCTTGGTTAAATACTTAGGAGTCTGATTTCTGAGTTACATGATAACTGTATATTTAACTTCAGAAGGTGTCACATTATTCAAAAACAATCTTGGAGAAAGGACACCCTATTTAGCAAATGGTGTTGGGAAAATTGGCTAAACATATGCAGAAGAATGAAGCTGGACCTCTTTCTGTCACCATATACAAAAATTAACTCAGGGTGAATTAATGACATAAACGTAAGACCTCAAACTATAAAACTTCTAGAGAAAAGCCTAGGAAACACTCTTCAGGACATCGGTCTAGGTGATGAATTCATGACCAAGACCTCAAAAGCAAAAACAGCAAAAGACAAAACTGACAAGTGGAACGTAACGAAACTCAAGAGCTTCTGCACAGCAGAAAAACCATTAATCGTTTTGATAGACAACCTGTGGAATGGGAGAGAATATTTGCAAAGTATGCATCCAACAAAGGTCTAATATCCAGAATCTACAAAGAAATCAAACAAATCAGCAGGAGAAAACTAATGACCCCATTAAAAAGTGGGCAAAGACATGAACAGATACTTTCCAAAGGAAGACATACAAGTGTCCAACAGACATATGAAAAAATGTTCAACATTATTAATCATCAGAGAAATGCAAATTGAAACCACAGTGAAATACCATCCCATACCAGTCAGGATGGCTTTTATTCAAAAGTCAAAAACAACAGGTGCTGACAAAGATGCAAAGAAAAGGGAAAGTTTCTACACGGGTGGTGGGAATGCAAGCTGGCTAAACCCCCATGGAAAGCAGTTTGGAGATTTCTCAAAGAATGAAAAATAGACCTACTGCTCGACCCAGTAATCCTACTGCTGGGTATGTACCCAAAGGAGCACAAATCACTCTACCAAAAAGACACCAGTAGGTCATGTTTATCACAGCACTATCCACAATAGTAAAAACATGAATCCAGCCTAGCTGCCCATCAATGGTGAACTGGATAAATAAAATGTGGTATGTATACACCATGGAATAGTACACAGCCATAAAAAAAAGAACAAAATCATGTCCTTTGCAGGAACATGGATACAGCTAGAGACCATCCTCCCGAGCGAATTATCCCAGAAACAGAAAACTGTATACCATATGTTCTCCCTAATAAGCGGAAGCTAAACACTGCATGCATACAAGCACAAGGATGGGAACAGCAGACACTGGGGCACTTCTTAGGGGGGAGGAAAGGAGGGAGGGTTAGTGCTGAAAACTACCCACTGGGTACCATGTCCGCTACTTGGGTCTTGGGCTCAGTGGAAGCCCAGGCCTCACCATCATGCAATATTTTCATGTAACAGACCTGCTCATGTACCCACGGAATCAAAATAGGTAATGAAAAAAAAAGAAACAGTTAAATTGTTTTTCTTTTTGGAGTCTCACTCTGTCACCCAGGCTAGAGTGCAGTGGTATGCTCACGGCCACTCTGTCCACCTGCTGGGCTCCGGTGATCCTTCAGCCTCAACTTTCCAAGGAACTGGAACTACAGGCTTTGTGCTACCACTCCCAGCTAATTTTTTATTTTTTATTGTAGAGACGAGGTCTCGCCGAATTGCCCTGGCTGGTCTTGAACCCGCGGGCTCCCAAAGTGCTGGAATTACAGGCTGAGCCACCGAACCCGGCCTAAATGATTTTTCAAAGTGACTATACCATTTTGCATTTTCCCTAGCAATGTAAGAGATTTCTAATTGCTCTTTGCATCTGTGCCAGCATGTGGTCTCATAATTTTTTCTTTTTAATTTTAGCCATTCTAATAAGTGTGTAGTGGTATATCATT